AGATTAACTTGTACACTCATAAGAGCCCTCTCCTATGGACTATAAAATCTAAGGGCTGTAACTGGCTTAATTTTGCATTTACTGTCTGTCTGCAACTTCAGTTCTCCTTACTACAACAAAAAGCAACCAACGTTCTACCAGAAGTAATGAGCCATTATAGGGGTGTGTGTGTGTGGGGGGGGTTGCCTTCCAAAGCCAATATGATGAGACTGTCCCCCTTAATGTTACTGCTTTTATTTTAGTTAAAGATTTCTGTTTTATTTTATATGAAATGACACCTCTTTTTTAACAGAAGTCAGACCGCTGAGTCTCTTTTACAGCATTAATGTTTTGCTTTGATACTCCTATAACGCGATTATATGGATGTAAGTCTCACTGTATCTCAAGAAGCTTGCCTCTGGGTTAGCCCAGTTAGAATGACAGCTTTAAGAGATTAGTTTGTCACTATGTATAATTTTGTTGATCAACATATTATAAGCCTGGGAAAAAACTGCCTAGGGATAAGATAAGCACATTTCCAAACTCTCTAGGCCAGCTTCCTCCAATAAGATACCCTCAAGCTGTTTTAGAATAAAACCCCCATTATGCCCTGCAAGCATGAAAATGGTAGTTTAACACTTTGGAGAGCACAAAGTGGGAAAGATTGGCCCATGAAATTTTGGACAGAAAGCAGATTTCATTTGCAAATAAAAAACTTTTCCAAACCACCTGCCTGCCCCACTTCTGTTTCCTGAATCCCTCCCATGTTTTGACCCCATCCTGCTACTCACTGTAGTTTTCTCCAGGCAGTGCAAGAGATGGTGGTGTTGTTGTTCAAAAGCTGATCGGTTGCGCACTGCCAGGGCATGTGCAACAGGATCTCTGTCCTGATGGAGAAAGCAGATAAAGGCAGATGGGATCTGATGGACACACCAATACATACACATTCCATTTCAACTCCAGCCTGAATATCAGCATGCCTAAATTATCACAGCAATCCTTGGACATGCAAGTGGAGATGTAAAAATGGGAAGAACATCTAAGTGCATAAGGTTTAAAACCCATAAACACTTTAAATATCTTTAGGATTACTGTATTTCAGATTGGAAGAGGATGGTTGAGTATTTGAATGCCTTCCCATTTAAAAGAAGGTTTCTGCATTTAGAAAACTAATACCTGCAGGATAGGGCTTGGCTATAAAAGTATCCAATGGGCTACTTTTCTGGGTACAGGGTATTAATGTTTTGCAAACTAGGGAGCCTCCCAACAAAGAATACTCCAGTTGCAATATGAAGTAAGGAGCTTATTTAAAATTGGAATTGAGAATAGAAAATTTGAGGAGCACTGGATTAGACTTGTAATGTTATTTAAAAAAATATTTACACATCACTGTTCATGTAATATATCACAGTGGTTTCCAAAATTAAATAAAAATAAGAGAAGTATTTATTTAAAAAAAACAGGAGAAAGGGACATTAAACAACTATGAAGCAAAGCTTTATAACAGTTAACTTCAGTTCCAAAAGCCATTTAAAATAAGTAAGGTTATTAATTTGTTTCTGAAAAGCTGCAGGATAGAGGCCTTACCATTAAACCTCCCTTGGAAAGATGCTCTAGTTTGGGAGCTATAACAAAATAGGCCCCAATGAGTGAATGCCAACTTTGTTTACCCATAACCAGAGCATAGCTTCATCAGAAACTTTTATGAGTGGGCTTCTATATTCCCTGCGTTAACCAAGATCAAAATATTTAGAGCATAAAGCGGGGAGAATTAGCAGTTAGAACAGTGCCTGGAAACTGTGGTGCATCAAAACAGGCACTGCCATTGAGTTTTGGTCCTGATTTGATAGCAATGTAGGATGCTGATTTTTGCAGCAGTCGAAATTTCCAAACCATCTTCAAGGGCACTCTGACACAGAGAATATTTGGAAAACGCCAATGCATGAATGACAGCAGCTAGGTTTATTGCACCACAGAGGACATAACATGTGAATCAGCTAAAGCTGATAGAAAGGCATTAGGACGCAGGAGCTCCTGAAAGTCCAGGAGCAATGCCATAGCTTCAAGCTATGAATTGGGTCCTCTGATGGAATAGGACACCAGCCAGAGTAGCTGTTTCTTCAGCCAATCTTCCGCTATCCTTAACACTGAATGGGTTCAAATATATTAAGCTATTATTTGTTTTAGTTGCTATTTGCTGAATCAATGAAAATGGGCTATGTTTACATATCATGCTAAGTCACAAACAACAATGTACGGGCTCACGCAAAATATTAAGCCAAAACAAAACAAATGATTTTATAGTATAATGCAATGTTTAAACCCAGCCTTTGTTTTATTTGGACAGAACTTTAATTAAATTGCTCTCATTCAGCTCATTAATGAGCGGGAATGTGCACAGAAAGATCTCACAGCTTCTAGATTTGATGAAACGGATAAATAGAGATGGGAATCTTTGGCATAAATCTAAACCAAATGCCATCATTTCCAATGATCCATCCAAGGGTTTCGTGATTATATTAACAAGCGTGGGAGATAATACAGAACCAGAATTATCCCCTGGGGAAGAGCATCCCTGCATCGGTTTCAGAAACTGACTCACCCTGGAGGCATTGTTCTAAGCTTGGCCCAAAGGTGTGCAACTGTTGGCCCTGGGGATGAGCATGGTCCTCAGCCTAATTTCAAAAGCCCTCTGAAAACAATCACATCAACTTCCCTTTCTGCCAGAGAAGAGACAGACTCCTTTTGCCAGAGGTCTAGACTGATCATTTGCAGATTGTTTCTGAAATTAGACTAAGTGCTGCATGCATCCCCATAAATAAAATGGGGGAATAGAAAAAAACAGATCGGGAGAGAAGACAGTAACAGATGGGATAGAAAATGGAGGGCCAAGAGAGAGAAAGAGGACTGGTATACCCATTATTTTCCTTTCTTTCTTTCTTTCTTTCTTTCTTTCTTTCTTTCTTTCTTTCTTTCTTTCTTTCTTTCTTTCTTTCTTTCTTTCTTTCTTTTTTATTTTTTTGGCAACGGGCTCTGCCCAAAACTATCTTTGGGCAGAGCCCGTTGGCCTAACTTGCAGCTCTGGCAAATTATTCTTAACACTGATGGAATGCAATGGAGAAAATGTACCCCGGCCCAGCTGTAGTCAACCCCAAAGATCAAAGGTTTAGGTTTGCTAGTTTGGATTGCAGTAACAAAAGCTTAGTGCGTTGGCCCAAGCAAGGAGGAGGAACCGCAAGTGTTTTCCATTCATACTGATCCCTGTTTTTCCTTATCTAGGAAAACTCAACAGGATTAAGAAAACAATCCGTGCCATTGTTTCAAGGATGCCCAGCGTGGAGAAAGCTGAAGGCACCAAGGTGAACAGAGAACTGAGTTCATACCTCAAGGCCTCCATTCTGCTTGTACTGAAGAAAAGCATTGGTAGTACCACTCTTGGCCAGCCGTATTCGGGCCAGGCGAACCTTCTGTAAAGGGGGGGAACACAAAGAACCATTTATGGAATGTGAGAGATAATTGAGCCCCCCTTCTCTGTGGTGTCTTTCACCCACTGCTTTTTGCTTCCTCTTCCTCCTCCTCCTCCTCCTTTGGCAGTCAAATCTACCTGCTGAGCTCGCCGCTTATCTGCCCGCTGATTCTGGTGGTAGATGCGGCTGAAGTTGGAAACAATGACAGGTACAGGAAGGGCGATGACCAGCACCCCACTTAGAGAGCAGATGGATCCAAAGATCTTCCCTGCAATGGTGCTTGGGACCATGTCACCATAGCTGGAAGAGATACAGCAGTTACTGCAGCCCTTAGTCTCTCAAACCATCTCACAGTTGCCCATATACACATGTTGCCCCTCTGTCTTAAACACCCAGAAATGAAGATCTTCCCCCTTCATCAGTCTTCCCCAAATTGGTGCCTTTCAGATATGTTGAACTTCAGTTCCCATAATGCTTTGCTAGTACTCCACTGGATTAAGGGAGGCGAACTCAAACACATCTGGAAGGTTGTCCTTGGTCAGTGTTACAGCAGGCTGGGGAGAAAATAGCTGACTGCTCAGTGGCATAATCAGGGCTAGCTTTCAAGCCTGCAGTCTGTCTCCCTCCTCCCATCACCAAGTGATCAGAGATTGGCAGATAAGAAACAGACTGTTGGTTTTGCTCAATAAATACATCTGGGTGTATTGAGGTTCACCAGGATTGCTATTATTCATTTAAACGTCTTTCCTTCTTTATTTTAAAAATCCTTTTTAGGTCAGGTAGTTTTATTTCTTTATTCCTGAAATAAATATTACCCATTCTGACAAGAAAACAGGGCTTATTCCAAAGTCAGTGGTGGGTTCCACAACTGAAGCCACGCAAATTGCCTTATCAAGGGACCCACCATAAGATCTTTAAGTTCAGGACTACAATCAACAGGCTGTGCCTACTTGTACATATGAAGATTGGTTGGTGGCACAAATAAAACAGGTGTGTGTGTGTGTGTAAAATTCTGGATTGGATGCCAAATTTTTCACTGACCCTCTTGCACTGTTAAGAGCAGCTTGATGCAAAAAATCAAGCAAGTGAAAAGATCTCGATCCTTTGATTTCTATGCTGTGAAAATGTTAACTTGTGTGTCAGGCAGCTATTAAAGACCCAGGAGGATGACTAAATAATAGTGGTGGCAAATCTACTAGATAGCTTGGGGTTTGTGTGTTGCATAAGGATTATGTAAGCATGGGACTGGAATTTTTAATTCACATAAACTTGAACTTTCTTTGATCAGTGCAGAGATAAACTTCCAATATGTTTATACTAAGATTTTTTTTCTTTTGGTTATTCATTTCACTGTTCTGGTCAATTCTGTTTACTATATGTAGTCTTTGAAAATAATTGCTTGAATATCTATGCTAAGTATGTAAGTTCTGAGTATATTTTACAAAAAGGAATGATTAAATTTGTATTACAAGAATGTTATTTATGGTTTAATCCTGGATTTAAATATTTTTAGAACTGTGACTAAACTTATGATATTTAAGTGGCACTCTGTTAGTTATTCTGATAGTAGCTTCTAGGCTGAGAAACTAAACAGGAATGGCCTTGGTTAATAGTTGGATGGGATTCTTCCGGAGAATATCAGAAGTGTACACTAGACTAAGAAGTTGAAGAAATATCTCCAAAGAAGTCAATGGTTAATTACTTCCATGTTGTTACTGGGGAGTGGAACAACTAGTGGTGTAGAAGGATGGTAGGAATTCCATCTCTTTTATATATGGGAATTGTGTAAGTTCCTTACTTCCAAAGCTGAGTAGAAAAACAGTCTCTCCCAATCTGGTGCCTTCCAAATAAGTTGGCCTTCAATTTCCATCATTCCCATTCAACATGAGAAATAGGAATGATGGAAGCTGGAATCCAATACATCTAGTGGAATTGATTGCAAAAGTTAGTGTGAAAGTTAGAGACTATTGATGAAGACAGCATTTGTGTCTACATCAATAGTCTCATGTCAATGCGCTGAAGACATTTGAAGACAAAGTTCTACAAAGAACTTTCAAATAATAATTGTTATTTTTCAAGCATCAGGCACTTTCCATCCTCATCCCCCCTTATCCACCAACACCAGGCCTTAAATGCTTCCCCTCTTTTTCTTCTACATGTAAATGCCTCTAAATATATGACCCCTAATGATCCAGAGGGACATATTCCCCACCATCCCTCACCCATGCTTATCCCAGTGTTTCTGGCAGTGTGGCTTCATGGGTGAGCTGGACGTCTTCCCACATGATCTTGTTTCCCAAAGTTCTGTGGGTGAAGCTGGTTCCCAACCATGGTTGTGTTTCTTCCTCCCCAAGGATACCACCTAGATGTCGTTTCCAGCCCATAATGGAACAAACTCCATGCAATCAGTTGACTTAAGGACTGAAAATCTATGGCACCTGTTAGGGAACAGCAGGTTCCAAGAATTATGGCCCTAATAACTCTTTAGTTCTCTCTGATGAACAGGCCCTTGGGAGATCATTAATAGGACCAGTGCTGGGGAAGGAAGGAGGAGAAGCAGGTAATTGAATATTAAGACCCAGCAGGGACCAGAATGAATGAATGAATGAACAAACAAATGGAGGCTGGATATTTTATCCAACTCAGCATTACTTTCTCCAAATTATTTCAACAGCTTCCCTGTACATTCACGTTCAGCTGGGGAAAAGAATAGGGGAAAAACCTTGCATTCATTATATTTTACAGCCCTGAAACTAAAGGCCTCGTACTCAAACATAGGCAGTTTAAGTACAAAATATACATGCATGCTATTAGATGGAAAGTGTCTCTACTAGCTTCCAGCATGCATTGTGACTTATTGGATCAGATCAAGGGCATGTGGTTTGCATGCAAAAGTTGAAACACTCCTAGTCAAACTATGTTTCAATGAACAGAAGCTAAAAAAAAGTGGTATTAAGTTAAACACAATTTTTGCAAATTTGAATGCATACTTACAATTTATGTGTAATTGTGTACAGATTCAGAGAAGAAACAGTGCATATGGGAGGTGCCAAAGGCTGGGTACCCTTTCAATCAGTCCTTTATATCTTCTTTGATAGAAATAACAGCTTCCAAATATTGTTCACTGAAACACAAACTTGACCAGGGGTGCCTAAATATTTGCTTGCAACTGAACTGCACTCTCATTCAGTTCTCTGTACTAATCAGTCAGCCAGCACTGGTGCTCCTGGGAGGTCCCATCTATCTCCATGTTGTTCTTGGTAGCAATTAAGAATTATCTTCCATCATCCAGAAGTGGGCAATTTTTTGAGTTTTTGACACACAATGGTTGCCATGGTAAAGTGGTGGTTCATCTTCTCCTCAAGAAGGCAGTACTGGATCCAATGGAGCTGGACAACTTTTGTCCAGTCTCCAATTGTCCCTTTTTAGGGAAGGTTGTTGAAAAGGTGGTAGGCCTGCAACTCCAAAGGGCCTGGAGGAAGCAGATTATCTGGACTCCTTTCAGTTGGGTTTAGGCTGGATTATAGTACTGAGAAAATATTAATCACACTTGTTGATGATCTCTGGTAGGCTTGGGAATGGGGTGGTGCATCCATCCTGGCCCTCCTTGATCTTTCAGCAGCCTTCAATACCATGGATCATGGTATACTTCTGGTTCGGCTTATTTATTTATTTATTAGATTTATATGGCTGCTCATCTTGCATAAAGTGACTTTGGGTGGCTAACACAATAAAAACATCAATACAAAACAAAATGCAATAAATAAAGCCACATCAAAAAGAAAAAAAAGGTCACTTGAGGATAAACAGTCAACAACAAATTCATAAAACTCATGAGCTCAACCACCAGCTGACTGCCATGCCTGACAGACAAACCAAGTCTTAAGGGGTTTGCAGAAGGCCAGCAGGCTTAGAGGGTTGCAGGAAGCACAGTTTACAGTGGTTCTCCTCCTTCCTCCAAGGCCAGTTCCACTCAGTTTGGGAAGGGAGGTGTCTGCCCCTAGGCTCCTGCATTTTATTGTGCCTTAGGGCTTGACTCTCTCCCTGCTTCTAATATCTACATGAAGCTGCTGGGTGAGGTTATTTGTCGGCCTGGAGTTAAGTATTATCAGTACGTTGATGAAAATTAGTTGTACGTCTCTGTTCCTGGCCATCCAAGTGGCTATGGGTTTTAGAGAGCCCCCAGATCTAGAAACATTCCACCTCTAATTCTGGATAGGGGAAAACTCCCCCAGAAAAAGGTGGTGCATAGTATGAGGGCCCTTGAGGGCAGGTGGCAGCACTGGCCTGGAGGATCTTTGCACAAATCCATTTTATATGCCAATTGCACCCGTGCCTGGATCAGGCAGCTCTACTCACAATCATTCATGCTTTCATCACATTCTGGTTGGACTGGTGCAATGCCTTCTAATGGGCCTGCCCTTGAAGAGCATTTGGAACTGCAGCTGGTCCAGAAAGCAGTGACGTGTGCAGTTCTGGATGCTCCATAGTATGCCCGTGTTACTCCATGGTTTGTAAGCTGCAGTGGATTCCAGTAGACTTCCAAGTGCAATTCAAGACATATAAAGCCAAGTTACTTGGAGGACTGCCTGTTTCCAATGGTTTCTGCCTGTCCCACCAGATCTGGCAGAGTGGGCAAGCTCAGGGTCTCTCCTGTTAAACTAGGGTCATCTAGTTGAATCCAGGAGGCATCCATAGGCACCCACCCTATGGAACAGCCTCCTCTCTTAGATTTGGATGGCCCTGACTCTGCTAGCCTTCCAGAAAGCCTTGAGGACCTGGCTTTTACCTCAGGCATTGGGGAACAGATAAATATAACTCCAAACAAAGTACTGGCCTAAACAACCTTCCATTTTTATTGTCTGATAATCCAGTGTGGGCCTTGATACGTTCTTGGAAATAAAGGTGATGCTGGAGATTTGCAGCATTCTCACTTCCCATTGATGTATTTTTAAATAAAAAATAATTGAAAAAGAAGAGTTGGGTGGGGCAGGGAGTCTGATGGGTGCCAAAGGAACCATGATCTCTACCCCAGCGCTAATACATTTCAAGGTAGTGCTTTCTCTTCTATATACACATCTCTTCTCATTGCCACCAGTGTATATTCTGAAGGGGAAAGCTGCATCTGAAACACCAGTGTGTCCTTCACATCTGCCATGGGGACACTTGTATGCTGTACAGTTCAGTAGCTGATTATACCCAAAATATCTAGAAGCAGCTCTTAATAAAAGTTTATGATACAGCCAATCCAGTGGGCTTCTGTTTCACTACCTACTGAATTACCTTGAAACTACAGGAAC